GAGAGGACAGGTGACAGAGAGAGAGGAGAGACACGGTTGACCACAGAGAGAGAGGAGAGAAGTGGACAAGGAGAGAAGACCAGTGTGACAGAGAGAGAGAGAGACAGGTGACGAGAGGAGAGTAGAGAGACAGGTGACCAGGAAGAGAGAGAGACACGGTAACCAGAGAGAAGAAGACGGTGACCAGAGAGATGAGAGAGACAGGTGACAGAGAGATGAGAGATGACACGGTGACAGACGAGAGAGAGAGACAGGCTGATCATACGAGCGAGAGAGAGACAGAGTGACAGATCGACGACGAGATGAGACAGGTGCACAGAGAGAGATAAGAGACACGGTGACAGAGCAGAAGAGGAGAGAGACAAGGTGACAGAGAGACCAGGAGACTGACAGGTGACAGCAGGAGAGAGAGAGACCAGTGACGAGAGAGATAGTAGACAGGTCGACATGAGAGATGACGACGACGAACACGGTGCACAGAGGAGAGAGAGAGACACGTGAACAGATGAGAGAGAGAGAGGACAGGTGACAGAGAGAGAGAGAGACAGGTGACATGAGAGCAGAGAGGACAGGTGACAGAGAGGAGAGAGAGCAGGTGACAGAGAGGAGAGAGACCAGGTGACAGAGAGAGAGAGAGGACAGGTGACAGAGGAGAGACAGTGACAGACGAGAGAGACAGCGTGACACGGAGAGACAGCGTGACAGAGAGAGAGACAGGTGAACATGAAGAGAGATGAACAGCTGACAGAGAGAGAGACAGGTGACAGATGAGAGAGACAGGTGACAGAGAGAGAGACATGCGGTGACAGAAGAGAGACACGGTGACTCAGAGAGAGAGACAGGTGACAGAGGAGAGAGACAGGTGACAGAGAGAGAGACACGGTGACAGAGAGAGAAACATGGTGACAGAGAGAGAGACAGGTGGACAGAGAGAGAGACAGGTGACCAGAGAGAGAGACCAGGTGACAGAGAGGAAGACAGGTGACAGAGAGAGGAAGTACAGATGAGAGAGACAGGTGACAGAGACAGAGCAGAGACATGGGTGACAGAGAATGAGACAGGTGACAGGAAGAGAGCAGACAGCGTGACAGAGAGCGGAGACAGGTGACAGAGAGAGAGACAGGTGATCACAGAGAGAGCAGACTAGGTGACAGAGAGAGGACAGCTGTGACGAGGAAGACAGGTGACCAGAGAGAGAGACAGCTGACAGAGAGATGAGACAGGTGACAGAGAAGAACAGGTGACAGAGAGAGAGGACCAGGTTGACAGAGAGAGAGAATCAGGTGGACAGAGAGAGGGACAGTTGACAGATGACAGAGAGACAGGGACCAGAGAGAGAGGACCACGGTGACAGAGAAGAGACAGGTGACCAGAGAAGAGAGAAACCCAGGTGACAGACGAGAGAGGACAGGTGACAGAGAGAAGAGACAGCGCTGACAGGAGAGAGAGACAGGTGACAGAGAGAGAGAACACGGTTGACAGAGAGGAGCAGACAACGTGACAGAGGAGAGGACATGGTGACAGAGAGAGAGACAGCGTGACAAGAGAGAGAGACAAGGTCGACAGAAGAGACAGCAACAGTGACCAGAGAAGAGAGACAGAGTGACAGCTAGAGAGAGGGTACAGGGTGACAGAGAGAGAGACATGTGACAGAAGAGAGACAGGTGACAGAGAGAGAGACAGGTGACAGAGAGAGACAGGGACAGAGAGGAAGACAGCAGTGACAGCATGAGAGAGACAGTGACAGAGAGAGAGAACAGGTGACAGAGAGAGAGACACCCGCCTGACAGAGAGAGAGACATGACAGAGAGAGATTACAGTGAAAGAGACAGACACTTGACAAGAGAGAACAGTGGACAGAGAGATAGAGAAGAGACAGAGAGAGAGACTGAGAGAGAGAGAGGACGAGACAGAGAGAGCCCGAGAAGATGAGAGAGATGGAGACGAGATGAGAGAGAGAGAGAGAGAGAGAGGGAGAGAGAGAAAGAGAGAGAGAAAAGAGGAAAAGAGAGAAAATGAAAAAGAAAAAGAAAAAAGAAAGAGAAAAGAAAAGATTAAAGAAGAAAGGAAAAAGAAAAAGAGAGACGAGAGAGAAGAGAAAGAGATGGGTGATAGAGAGAGAGAGAGAGAGAGTGTGAGCCTGTGTCAGGTTAAAAAGCAACCCTCCTGGTATCTATTTGGTATTACTTAATGTTCCAATATCTTCCTTGTAGATTACATGTTTTCATGTCATAATTTATATAACTTTTACTAATATACCAGCAAAACTCCTATCATGAAGGTAGTCTTTAACTGATAATCACAATTTTTAGAAAGTACTTGCTGCATATTGTCTTTAAGCCTAGGCAGAAAAATGGCGAATATAAACCAATAAATAAAATCATTAGAAAGTGTTATGTGGTAGCTGCTGAATTAAAAGATAAGTGTTACAAACTCGGAAGAGCGAATAGGACAAACAATCTGGAATGCTGAAGTGCTTATTTTCATAGTTATTACCATATGATAATGAAGTGTAATGACTGTTCTTATCTGCAATACGTTTTAAGCATCTTTTTTAAATGTTCCAAAGATAGTGCAATAATCATTAGGTTTGCAATTGATTTTATAGCCCAGTGTATATGAACAATGTGAAGTAATTTGCGTGTTGTTCTAGTCACCAATTACCACTCTCTCCCTCCTCTCTCCCCTCTCTCCTCTCTCCCTCTCTCCTCTCTCCCTCTTCTCCCTCTCCCCCTCTCCCCCTCTCTCCCCTCTCCCTCTCCCTCTCCCCTTCTCCCTCTTCCCTTCTCCCTTCCCTCTCCCTCTCCCATCTCCCTCTCCCTCTCCCTCTCCCTCTCCCTCTCCCACTCCTCTCCCTCTCCCTCTTCCCTCTCCCTCTCCCTCTCCCTTCCCTCTCCTCTCCTCTCTCTCTCTCTCTCTCTCTCTCTCTCTCTCTCTCTCTCCCTCCCCTCTCCCATCTCCCTCTCCTCTCCCCTCCCCTCCCTCCCTCTCTCTCTCTCTCTCTCCTCTCTCTCTCTCTCTCTCTCCTCTCTCTCTCTCTCCTCTCTCTCCTCTCTCTCTCTCTCTCTCTCTCTCTCTCTCTCTCTCTCTCCTCTCCTTCTCCTCTCTCCTCTCTCCCTTCCTTCTCCCTCTCCCTCTCCCTCTCCCTCTCTCCCTCTCCCTCTCCCTCTCCCTCTCCCTCTCCCTCTTCCTTCCTCTACCTCTCTCCATCCATCCCTTCATCCCACCCATCCTCTTCCTCTCTCTGGCTTGACTGTTCATCACTATCCCACCTGATAGTTTTTCTATATTCTCTCCTTTGCCTGGCAGCGCACTCACCAAATAAACCAATCAATGCAGTCTGATGGGTAGTGTTGAGAAAAGTCCTACGTGATGAGCTTGTAGTTTACTAAAAAGGCCTTATGACCTTTCACATTATGTCTAAAAGCTTTAAATCGTGACTTCTTGAGAATAGTTTTATATACAATGCATTAATACACTAATAAGGTTTGACAGAAAGTTTTTTCTTCTTTTCTTTTCTCTGTGGCAAGATTATGATTGTAGTATGCCATGATTCAGGGTGTTATTCTTTGTCTGTACACTGAAAATCAGTTGGCTTACCTACAGAATTTTTTTATTCCTGCATCCTTTATAGGTTAACGATTAATGCCATCATCTAGGATTTTTTTTTCTCTTTTCCTAAGAAGAGTATAAATTGCTTCCGTGTGTGTGACTTACTTTTCAATACTTTATATGACCACCATGGACTCAAAGGAGTTATACTCATTTGACATAAACTCTTATATATGTTTTGTCTTAGAGTATGCATGCTTTTCACTTTAGTGAGGTGCATGATTCCTCCTGGAACCAAATTTGAATTATGATAAACTGTTTACTACTTTTATTCTTGTAGTTTGTTTTATATCAGTTTCGCTTTTATATTAAACCCATAGATTGGATTTTTTCTTATTATAAGTCTTTTTTTTAATAAATGAGAATGAATGCATCATTCCTAGTCATATCAAATATTAGGGAAAAGTATTTTTGTAACATCATCCTGTTAAGGTCACACATTTTCTGTTTGTAGACACTGTTGTAATATTAATATTTATTTGTAATATTTTGCTTCAGTAACCATTATCCAAATGCAAAATATCTTTTAAAGCCCCTATTGGAGACAGAAGAGTTTAATCTGATTTAGTTACACATTTCCCCTCAAAGGGTAGTTGATATAGATTGATTAAAGAATTTTTTTTTTTTATGTAGCAGAACTTTGAGGTCAATTACTAATGAGTTCATTTGGGATGATGCAGAGGCATTAAGATTAATGAAGTTAATTCACACATATTCTGTTTTCTGTGACTTGAAAAAGAGCTTCTCATTATTTAGATATAAGTGTTGGTGGAAAAGTGAATGTCTTAAGATACCGTGTAATGTACCTTCCATCTTTCTTATCTGCCTTTCATTGTTATTCTATAAAAGAAATAAAATAGAAAAGAGAAATAAAAAAATGGAAAAGAAAAGAAAAAAAACTTTAAAAAGTGGCACTTCATTTATCTGATTTCCTTATGTAAATCAGTGCCAAAATAATTAACAGCATTGCATAGAAGTGATTTCTTTATTATTTTTGCATGTATTTAGCATGGAAGTGATTTCTTTATTCTTTTCCTGTTTATTTGGTTAACAGGTTGGATCAAGTAGAAAAAGCGCAGCCAGGTATGACCCGGCCGGTGCAGCGACTTCCTCTCCTGAAACAGGGAAAGCGAGAGAATGACAAGAAATTCTTGGCCAGAGTGTACGACACTACTCAGGTATGTTAAAAGGCTGGGGATAAAATGTGGTCTTAAGGATATTGTGACCTATGAGTATTGCAATGAGGCCTAATGATTTAATGGCTAGGAAAGCAATATGTATCCAATTAACATCACTTTGCTGAGAAAAAAGAACAACTTTTTTTTTTATTAATATCTTTTTTGGGGGGATGCTATTCTTTGGGATATTCCTGAATGACTAGATGGAAC